GCACTAGAGGCCAAGGAGAGAAGACAGAGGGCCCTCAGGGAACTCAGTCAGGGAGCCCAGCCTTAGCACAGAACAAACACGGGGTCTGAACTTCAGTACTCCAAGCATGTTGTGGGTTGGGCACTAGCAGCATCATATCCCCTGGGTGTTTATCAGAAATGCAGAATCTCGGCCCCCACCCCAGACCTAATGAGTCAGAATCTATATTTTAACCAGATCCCCAGGTGAGTTGGATGACATGACAGTGTGAGAGCTCCATCCAACTGCCATGGGGTGCTTGGGGACAAGAGGGATAATGGTGGCAGCCGTGACCTGAGAGGGCATCCCAGGAGACCTGCGGTCCTAAAGCATGGGGGAGGAGAGCAGATGTATCGGTAGGCAGCCCAGAACTGTGGGGGACAGGCCACCTGCAGTGGCTTGCAGCACCTAAGGGAGCAAATGGGGCAGGGCCAGGCAGGGGAGGGGCCCCAGCCTAAACATGTGGAAACCAGACCAGGACCTGAAGCCTTGCAACAGGGAGAACCTGGAGTCCAGGCTTCCCACCTGGCAATATAAGGGTCCTGGAGTCATGGGGTTTCTGTGCATCATCAGCATCCAGGGAGATACTGGCCTGAGCACACCCTCCCCAGTCTTATCAGGTTGAGCACAGCCTCATCACTGGAGAATCCTGCTGCCCACTGTGCCAACTGACAGCACTGCCCAGGCAGCTCACCTTGGAATTCCACTCTGTACCAAGGTGCCCTTCCCCCTCCACTGGCACCACAGCCTGCAGCCGCTTTCAGCTTGGCTTTCTACACTGATAGCAGAAGCTGCATTTCTGGGCAATAGCCCCCAGAAAGGCCTACCCTAGGAGGGGACTCAGAACCCCCTAGCCCCAGAGTCAAAGCTGCTGCCTTCCCCCTACCACTTCCTACCAGAACAGTCCTTCCCATGGTTGAAAGGGAAAGAGATGGGTGTGGGACTCAGGAAAAGAACAGAAATGAGTCCCCAAGCAGAGCACCTTTCCTTCTTCAGGCATCTAACTCTATCTGTCTTTTCATTTCCATCCTGCTGGCAATGGCAGGCCCAAACCTCAGATTACAGAGGGCCCCAGGAAAGCCAGCTCTAGGAGGCTAGCACCTTCCCCTACCAGGCCAGGACTTTTCTGGGATGGTCTAGATTGAGTTTCACAATCTAGATGGTCTTCAACTTAGGGGGTCCCACAGATCCTAGAAATTGAGTGTCATATTGTGTGTCCGGATGTACATGTATCTTTCTGGATAGAGACTCTGTGATTTCCTGTGGGCTCTCAGTTAGTTCTCTGATATAGATTCAGAACCACTGGCTTGAGCCAAGGACAGAGGCCCATCTGGTCTGCCCAGAACTAAGGAAAGGAAGCAGTGCAGGCAGGGGCGGTGTGGCTCACCACAGCATCACTGGTGTCTGACAGCGCACTGTAGCTTCTCACCTCCATGGATCACCACAGTTGTACAATTTGTGTCTGACATGATGACAGGCAATGGGATTTCCATTTTTCTAGGTGTGAAAACTGAGGCTCAGACAAGGCTCAGAACCCAAGCAGGGCCCCGTAGCACACATGGCTGAGGAGCTGATGTGAGGCAGGCAATGGCAGTGCCTAGGGCCAGGTATCAGTACAGGAAGTCAGTTTTAGGCCACCGGCCCAGCTTCCATGATTGTGGAGCCCAGCTGTTTCCGCCTCAAGGAAAGGACCCTTTAGAGCCCTCCCTTCCCATCTTTACAGCTTCAGAAGACTCAGGCTAGCACAGGGAAAGGGTGGAGGGATGAGAAGGGCCAAGTTTGCCTGCCTCCATTCTCAAGGCCAAGACAGTTTGGAGGATAGGAGTAGCCCCAGAATTGACATCCCACATAAGGATTTCCCTGCCAGGCCCACACATTCCCCAGATATCTGCACAGACACTTAAATATAAACACGTCCAGGCCTATAAAACACCCCCACTCTACCCCCTCCATCCCCCCAAAACCTGATGCTTGAAAGCCCGACCAAATTCTGGGAATAAAGCCACATACATCTTCACATGGGGTCTCCAATCCTTTTCTCTCCTCTTGGAAAAACAAAATCATGCAGATACTGTTTTATTTGTTCTAGGTTTCCACTGCCAAGCCCAACTTCCAGCACATGGCTCAAGGACGGGCCCACCCAGCACAAGAGCCCAACCAACCTTGTGCAGGGGCCTGGGGACAATGCCCTGAGGGGCTGTGTCCTGGCCTCTTCCCTTACCAAACCTTAAATCCAAGTTTCAAAAGGCAGGTAGAGAGTGGAAGGGGAGGGAAGGGGAGGTCAGATAAGCCTGAAGAGCCTGGAGGAGCCATGGGAGTAGCCAGGGCAGTGTGTGTCGGGGATGGGCTGGGTGGGTGAGGAGAAGCAGAGGCAGCCAAGAAAAGCCTATCATTGGACATGGCCAATAAATATGTGGGTCCCTAAGAGCATAGCCATTCCAGCCCATAGAAAAGGCACCAACCTTCTTCCCCCAGGAATAGGAGATGTTGGAAGCAGTCCATGACAGTAAGCTCTGAACTCCAAACCACAAACTCAATCTATCATGGTTTGCTAGCGATTCTTTATTAAGCCAATTCTGCTGGATCAATGCATCCTGCCCATCAAAATGATGAATAAATCCTCAACTGGCCCAAGCAATGCTTGCAGAAGGTCTTGTAAAACCTGAGCTGGGCAATGGGATAGGCTCTATATAGAGGCCCAAGGCTAGTGGCTGAAACTTGAGAGACTGAGGCTTGGGGCACTGGGTGGGGGTGAGTGGGTAAGGCTGGGTTGAGTGGTGGAGTTTCTAAGCTTAAAAGACTTAGCTAAGTCTTTGCTTCTTGGACCTTCTGAAAATTACATCAGCTGTTCTGGCCTAGAGACAGGAGAGGCATGACCACTGCCCCTCCAGAAGCTCACACAGATGGTTTTTCTTGGATTTCTTTCCTTACATCCCACCCAGCACCAGATAACTACCAGACTGTGCACAGAGGATGTGTACTTCCAGCTACCAGTCCCTGTTGCTTGTTGGACAAATCCAAATTCAAAGCCCAGTATGACCTTTTTCCTGTTGCCCATTTATCAGTCTTGCTGCATCCACCCTTCCTTAACCCCTTTAAACTCCCCTTCCACCATGTCCCAGGCAGCCTGCAGATAGTGAAAGATTCTGCAGCAGGGGACTGCAGATAGACATGCCAAGATGGGGAGAGGAAGATCAGGAAGGTGGAGAAGTTCCCATTGATACAATCAACCCAGTCCTAGTTCTTCACTATCCAGCATAAGGGGAGACTGGGAAGGCACAACCCAGTGCTCAGGTGTTTAATCAATGCCTACTGTTAATGGAGGCCAGGTGTCCCTCACAGTCCCCGACCCCAGGACACTGATGAGAACCCTAAACAGAGGCTTTTAAACAACAAAGAGGGTGGGGAGCTGAGCAAGGGAAGGGAGGAACCCTCAACAATCTCAACTGGTTGATACTAGAACAGCCTACCTGCCACCACCACCAGGGATTTCTGAGGGAAGAGGAGAAACCCAGGACACCCAGAGGATTGCAGGAAACACAGTTCCTGCCTACTCCTCCCTAACTCAGGCTGGGATCCTCGGTTCCTATTACTGACCAGCAGGGAGGCCACACTTTAGGAGGCTGGCACTGGGAACCAGCCACAGTTCCTGATGGGAGGTTTCCCACATTTGCAATGTGAAGACCTTCTGGAAATGGGAACCCTGGACATTAAGGTTAGGAAGGGCCACCACCTATTTTAAGTCGAGTTGCCTGACTGGTCCTTCCCAGCACGAGAAATTTCTCTCATTGGATGGAAATGTCTGTTCTCATAACAAATCTAGCTTCCCTGGAGTTTGCAAAGAGGGCTCTAGGTTGACAAAATGCTCATTTATATTGGCAGACAAGCAGGATAGGCAAGCAAGAGAGCTCAAAAGGGGGCAGGGCTCGAAGTGATAGAATGAATTAAACCCAGTTCAAAAGGGTGACTGTTTTTTTCAAACCCTTACTTCAATCCTGTGTATCAAGAAAGCCCAGAGAAGCACCGGGGGACCCAAGACCTTGACTGAGGTAGGGGCATCCCTGATTTCAACTTCAGAGGCAATCAATCACCCATCTCTCTTTTTGCACAGATTCCCCTACAGGCCCAGAGTAGTTATCTGCTGTGCAGTGGCATCTGACTCAGGTGATGGAGGAGGGGGCAGGGTCCCTCTCCTTGACTGGCAGTCACACCGTCTGTTTGGGGACCCATTGCTGACCTAGCAGTTGCTGGAGCTTGGGCCACTGGGGTGAGGATGATACACTGGTAAACCTGGGGTCACATGACAGCTGCTCATCAGTCAGGGTACAGGGCATCTTCACTGTCCACTGTGAGCAAGGTCATCCTGTCCTGCCAGTCCAGATACCAGCTACCCAGGGTATCTACTCCTGGCCTACCATTTGGCATGAGGGGCTGGGCCCAGATTTAAGGTGGGTGCAGAGGGCACTCATCCTGGGCATGAGGCCCCAATGACCTCAGTCCTCCAGAGGTCCAGCTCTCCATCCGCAGCTTCAGCTTCCCAGGGCACCAGAAGGCAAGGTATTAACAGCTGGGAGTCAGCACTCAAGGAGCTGGCCCAGATGCCAAGATTTCTGTCTCCATTCATGGCCCTGCTCTGCAGGCTGAGGATGGCCACTCTGACTGTAGCCTGAAGGGAGGGGTGGGATGTATGGCTTAAGGTGGCAGGGCTAGGCCAAGCTCAGGACACTTTTCTGACTGCCTTGAATGCGGCGCCCAGACCTCAAGAGGCCAAAGTCTGCAGCGAGGAACACAGAGGAAAGTTCCTTGCACAGTGCAGGAGGGAGGTCTGGGGGTGTCTCGGAGCTTAGAGGCGCCCCTCTTCTCTTGGAGCTCCGAGTGTGAGGAAGAAAAGTAAGTTAACTCTGGCTGTGAGGCAGGGCCGAGAGAGGCAACATGCCTGCGACTGCTCAGGACACCCACAGGACCACCACCGGCCCCCTTACCTGAAGTCGCTGTAGGGGTGGATAATCCAAAACCCGGCCGACTTAACTCTCTCCTGCTCCCGCTCCACGGCTTTCTGGCTGCCAAACATCCTCAGGGAGAATTTGTTGACCCCGGGTTGGAGCATGGCCCCGAACTGGCGCTGCATAAAGCCAGCCTGGCCCAGGCGTAACTCGGCCTCGGGGAGAATCTGGTCACCGGCGGCCGCGCCTCCCTCCACTTTGATAGCGGTGTCCACCGAGGGCTGCTCGCAGGAGGCGGAGGCCGACTGCGGCGACTGCTGGAGTGGCGGCAGAGAGGCTGCGGGTTNTGCGGGTTGCGCTGAGGGGCAGCCGCGCTCCGGCTCGCCCGCCAGGCCTGGGAGCGTCCTGCCCTCCCCGGGGGAAGCGTCGCCCTCGGCAATGAGCCGCCGCTCCTCCGCGGGGTCATGCATGTGCCCGTGACCGCTGCCGCCCCCCGCTCCGCCGCCGCCCCTGCTGCCCAGCGAGGCCAGGCTCCCGCGGATGCGCCTACAGTCGCCGTTCGTACCGGACT